GTTTATTCCTTCTTCAGATAATGTGAGGGCGGTGATAGGTCAGTGAAATGAGGCAACGTATCGTATTAGTCGCGTAACAAGCATGGGTTATGTCAAGGTCCTGTGTTCCATTTCTCTGGGATGAATTGCTGATATCAGAAATGTCTTATAGGGCAACAAGCCAGCATGGACATTCATTAGCGAAGTCATACCCTGGTAGAGCATCTATGTACACACTATTTCGGAAGACGAGAAGAGCGTCGAGTGTAGACTACATGCCGCAAATGACGACGTCCGAAAGAAAAAGCCATTTTTTCTCTACACTCCTCACTTGTGGCGTGTGGTCTGCACTCGACGCTCTTTTCTTTCTCGAAGTCGAGTATATATGCATTGAGACGTCCATGAGACGTTGAGAAGGTAGATTGCGTGGCGCAATCCAAAAACATCTAAATTATTCTCGTATCACATTATGACTTCAGCCTATCCTGGAAGTTGGTAGAGTTTCAGCACGAGAGGCAGTGGCTGGTGCTGTGAGTGACGAGATGTTTCCAAGATGTTGTTCAGCTGAAATCTGATATAACCAGTTGGCGCGGCATGCTGTTCCGCACACAGCACAGTTCACGACATGAAACGGTGCGGCGAAAATTCTCAAATTCAGCCGGTACGCCACGAATATTTGATTTGCTCTTCTAAGCTAGATCCCATCCGATTCCTTCTCGGCTCCGTGCTGTCTCTGGGCCATATTACGACGTTGGTCCCAGCCACCGATAGCTCTTGACCTTCCCTCCTTCGTCCACCTCTACTCAGTTTTTCCCGATCTCAGGACCGTCTCTGAACTCAATTATGAAGTTTCGTGGCGAGCCCCACCCACCTCGGTGCTTGTCCCGCCCATCGGTACCATTTTTTCTCCTTCCATCCGCCAACTTCCACCCACTTTTCTCCGGTACCCTGGCTGTCTCTGATCGATTTATGAGTTTAGGCAAAATTCACCCTTTTGTGCACGCTCCAACCAATGGCAGCTGGTCTTTTATTCCTCGCCATCCTGTCTCCATCCACTTTACTTCCCGTATCCCGACTGTTTCGGAATCAAATTACGAATCGTGGTAAACTCGGCACCCTTCGATGCATGCCCCACTCGTATTTGACCTTTTCTCTTCGCCTACCCAGTTTTTCCAATCTAAATTCTTGACTGCCACGGCGAGTTTCGTGGCAGATCCGCCTCTTCGTCTACGTTCCACCCGCTAATAGAAGTTGATACTTTCTTCTTCGCCAACCTTCGCTCACTTTTTTCCCGGTCTCCAGACTGCTTCTGCTTGGCCTCTTCCTTCACCGACCTCCATCCACTTTTTTCTCGTTCTTCGGGACTTCTTGGAAACAATTTATATGGCTTATAGGCACGCTGTGCACTTCAGGACACCCTCCGCCTGATGTGGACGGGCCTGCAGCTCAATCATGCCTGCTAAGAAACCGTCAGACCTCTTGCTTGCCTAACCGACTTTTTTGCTTGCCCCTAAGCTTTCTCCTAGACACATTTCGAATTTTTCAATCAATCACCACTCCTTTGGAGAACTCCCCGCCCATAGTGGATTTCCTAATTCGATCTGGCTTACCCCTTTTCCCTTCTTTTCCGGACTCTAAGCTGTTTCGGGCATGAATTTGAAATTCTGGCTGTCAGTACTGCTTATTTCGATGTATGCCACACCCACTTTGGGCGGAGCTCCACTTAGCAATGCATGTCTTACAATTCAGGCCCATCCCCACACTACTCACCGTCTGAAGGGGAAGTTGCAAATAACTAGGGTTTTAAAAAAACGGTAAAAACTTTCCCGAATAACATCGGAACTTCAAAACCTTCTACAACAACGCGCAGCGAAAAACAATGCTCAACGATGGCGCGTGCGGCGCGTGTTGAGTGATGTCACGATGGCTTGAGGCGAGAGGGAACAAGCAATTGCTAGCAACGCAGAAAAATGTTCGTATGATGAGACCGCGTGCACCTTACTAAGGTCCTGGGTGCGATCATGAAATCATGTTGCTTTGTAGCAAAGGAAATTTGTGATTTTTCCGATGTGAGGGATGAGAAGGGTGAACGAAAATGACCCCTTCGGTATGACCCTTGTAGAGGGGTGCACGATTATCAAAGCTGATCATAACAAGTCGTATCACTCTTAGTTCCTTTACAACTCTTGGTAAGGTTACGGTAATCACCCACATGTGTACATGAAGAATTAACATGGCAGCGCTGTTCACTATTTGGCCCTTTGCCGGATCCGCTGTGACGTCACTCGGCACATGTAGCGTGTGCCGCCGATAAACTTTTCCCTGGAGCCTGTTCCACTCTTCATCCATAGCCGGCAAACGCTAAGCTTAAACGACTGATGGAGACTATAAAAGGCGAAATTGAACGAGAGCGACATCAATATGTAGTAGATGAAGTTGGGATCAGGGTGAGCGTGGCGTCAAGTGAATCGTGTTGCCAATACGTCGTCTCCATCCCTCCTCCCCTCCCTTAGTTCAAGCTCAGCCTAAGTTACACAGCAATCTGCAAATTTCCTGCCTTCCTACCTAGTCAGAACAAGAAAAATTTCGAGGTTTCTTGAAATTTTGCAATTTCTTGAAATTCCTAAAAACTTTTCAAAATCTCCCTAATCTTCCTGAATAACGCCTATATTTTCTAGGTTCTGTTCTCACCTCTTTTGGGAAGACAACGTCAATCTCGCCTAAATGACTTTACCTTCCCACAGTGAAAACGTTTTTTACTATCCGTAACTAGGAATTTGCGACGCTTCCCTTCTTTGGTAGGGATCTGTCAAGCAGCCGCGTAGAGGTAGATATATTTGGCTACAATTTCGTGCATCCTTTCTTACAGCGGTTTGAATGTAATGTCAACTGCATGCATTGCAACAAAAAAAACAGTCATGTAATAAGTAATTGATGTCTGTGGGTATCCGAGGCGAATTGACGTCCCCGAGTGGCAATAGGTCCAAGCCAAGATGTGAATCACCTCCATGACGAAATTCATCCAGTTTCTCATTAGGAAGATGTGAATTTTTACCACTGGCAATCTTGTAGGCATCAGCACTGGGTCCTCGTTCCAACACGTGGCAATGAATCATCCACGCTTTTTATTTACCAACACGTTGTTTATCTTTCGGCTGACGTTTGACTGCATTCGACTAGTAAGCTGAGAGCCGCTTGAGCACACGAACGGAAAAAAACCCACACTCACTTGATGCTGCTAGAAGACGATGCAGGCACGATGTTCCGTTTACCTAGGTTTTTTCATTTGTCGCCAAAGACAAGAGCGTTTGGCTTCTTGTTACAATGTAAACGGACGGGAGATAAATTGATCAGGATTGATAAGTCGCCTGAGCACGCGCCATACACAAAACTCAAACGGTGATCTTTGAGGTTATTCAATGAATATTTGGTCCGCAAAT